CAAGGGAGCTGCCTTCTGCAGAGCAGAAGAAAAATATTTCAGAAAAGGGGAAAAAATGAGTATCCTGTTGTCTCACTGGTGTCTGCCTCGTGTTCAGAGCGTAGTGAACGTTTGACTGCACCAAACGATGCCCCTGTGAGCCGATGACAGCCCTCCGGTATCGTGCCTGTAGGAGGTTGCAGGGAGCGTGCCTGGCTTGCGGAGATGGGCCGGCTGGCGGTGTGTACGGCGGGTGACGCTTTCAGAAACGCTGGAGCAACTCGGATACCTTGCTGCTGCTTTGGCAACAACGACAAGAAGGCTTAGGGGCAGAAGTGTTGAAGACCGGGGTTGCCATGAACAGTACTTTGGTACCCAAGTGAGGATTTTTTTGGAGATCTTGTTGCCTGATAGATCACATGTGAGGCTTTTCAGCCAAGAGCGGTAATGGATTCATGCTCGGATTTTCGTTGCTGTTTTCAAGTGTGACTTGTACAGCTTTGTCACGGGGAAGATGCTTGTGACCAGTGCTAATGCTTAGGAGTTCTTCAGGACTGCCTCCTACAACAGTTCGTTGAGGCCCTGCCTTGAGTTCCCTGACTGACTTCCCAATTTCCATCCCGCTGTTTTACAGTTTCCCCTCTAGCAAGCCTGAGAGATGGATTTGTGTAGACCAGCTCCAGCCCAGACATTCTCTGCAGCATACCTTGAGCCAGGTGTGTGGCTGGTGCTTTTTCTGGGAATGTACATCCTACTGTGCTGCAGCAGAGCCAGCTTAGCATGCATTTAGCAGCGTGGTGACCTGGGCTGGCTTTGTTCTAACCGGGAAGATTATCAGCTCTGCTTCAGGGAAGTTACTCATACCTGCTTAGGGACAGCGCTTAAGCTCTTCGCTGTTGTGTCCACTTCAAAAATTTCCACTGCAGGTCAGGTGGGGGGGGGTTTATTTCTTGGTTTTCTTATTCTGGGGACAGGTTAGTGTTGGTATTGTTCCAGTATTTGATGCACAAAGCGCAGACTCAGAAACTGAACAGAATCACGTTTTATGGAAGGGAAAATGCTCATGGGAGGAGCAGCCAGAGTTCATGATTCATTTCTAGAGCATGCATACACGCCGTGTGTCAGGGAGGGAGGGAGGGGAGCTCCTTCCTTTATCCTTTATGCTGCTTCCATCCTCAAAAGAAACATTTGTAGCTGTAAGGCTTATAGGTATGGGATCTGAAAAACTGATTTCTGCCAACACAAAGAGACCCAGACTTGAGCTGCCTTGAAGGTTCTGTCAGATCATGTCGGATTGTAAAGGTGTTTCCATCCTGAATAGAGTTTTTAACTGTCTTTTGCTATCAAGAATAGTCTGCAGAGGCTGCTCCTTGCTTTGACTGCTGTCAGATGTTCTAATCTTAAAAAAAAAAAAAATACTAGAGTGCAGTCTATAGAGTAGCTTCTACCTTCAGAGCTTGTAGGGAGTTACAAAGGAGACTGTAATGAAGTAATCCTCCATTTCCCATGTGGAAACTAGGGCAGAATGGAGAGAAGAACTGGTTTGGTGGCTCGTGTACTTTCCTGGTAGCTGAGGAAACCCATGTCCAGCTTTCCCGTGGGCTTCTGGGGTGTCGCATCGGTGAGGCTGGCAGGGCTGATTCTGTGCCCAACTTTCTCTCTAGCAAACAGAGCCTGGCTTCTCCCAGGGGTGGTGCAGAGGTTACTCAGAGATGTTTGGGAGAGTAGGCTTGACAAAAATCATCATTTTAGCATCTTTGCACCTCTAGTCCAAATCCGTGAAGTGTTGGAAGAATGAATAGAGATTACATGCACTGGAGCGATAGGAAGATGGTAGATAACAGAAGCAGGGAGATGCGAGGGCAGTCAGCGAGTCAGTGGCTGAGCTGTGAATAAAAATCTGTCCTCCTTGATCTAATCTGCAGACATGACACCTGTCTCCTGCCTGCTCAGACTCTTTCCTGCTCTCCTGATCAAACCCTGACTGGTCCTGTGGCCTAGGAGACCATTGTCACCTTTGTGAGCTGAGTGTTCTCTGTTCTTTTTTTGAACTTAGGTTTGTGTGAAGTCTCCCATTCCTTCTGCTGGAATCTCTTCCTCTGAAGCGGTCACCAGCGTGTGGAGCCTGCCCCACACCCATCACCTGCCAAACCACGGCCTTTACCTGTGTCTTCCGGTGTTTCCCGTGCGACCCGTCCTGCGGGAGTGCCTCCTGGGCCACCCCAGAGTTCACGCAGCGCTCAGTGGCTCCAATGGTGAAGATGACAAGGTCCAAGACTTTCCAGGCGTATCTGCCTTCGTGCCACAGGACCTACAGCTGCATTCACTGCAGAGCTCATCTTGCCAACCACGATGAGCTCATTTCCAAGGTACGTGCATGACCTCACCCCCAGGTGCTGGGCAGACGCCTCCTCCCCGGGGAGCGGAAGGGTGCGTTCACTCGCATTGCAGGTCAGTTGCTGTTGGAAGTGCCTGGCCTGAACCAGTACTGCAGTTGTTGCTTGGAAAATGGGCTCTTGGCCTACAGGATCTACTTAAGAGCTGCTACTTTTGTTTTAAGTGAGTTTGAAAATAGCTGTAGGGACAGGTTTCCAAATTTGGGCCTCTGGAGTGCTTATTGGTGGTGTCTCTTCCCATGGTCCTGCCTCCTCCCGCTCATTTCCAGCTGTAAAACTGCACTAACTGATGGCCAGGACTGCGTGAATTACCTGCCTGATATTTCTTGTTCATGTATATGCTTGTCAGCATAGCCAAAGGGTTGTTGCATGATTTTGATTTGGAAGCAGAGCGTCTGGTGATGTTCTTGCTGAACTCTGAGCTGTACCAAGCAACTACACTAAAGCCCCTCTTTAAGAGGAGGTTCTCTGTTGCTTCTACCAAAATGAAGACTGAGTTGTTGCTCAAACCCTTGTATTTTTGCCAATCTACTGACCAGACACTTTGCAGTGAAAAAGCAAGGGATGGATGGTGGGATATGTTCTGAGCTGGAGAGTGTGGAAGGATTCTGTCCTGTCTTCTGATCAGAAGGGGAAGGGTCTTGAGGATAAGATAAATTAAAAGCTTTTGAAGCTAATAAGCCAGGGGCCTTTGATGCAGAGGGAGTGGGCCAGTTAAATGATCTTTCTGAAGTGGGAAAACTAACCTTCCTCAGAGTGTCTGTTGGAGCCTGCAGTGCCTGGCTGTGGTCAGACATTAAATTTCCAGGTTTGGGCTGCCTCAGTAATCAACGTTTTCATAAAGTTTATTCAGCTTATAAAATTTGTGTTCAGAAAAAACAGACGTACCATAAGATTTATTGGCTGACAGGAAACTGCACTATGAGCTCCATGTCTGCACAGCTTAAACCAGTTCAGCTTCTTGGAGCAGCGTAGAGAGAGAGGCCAGGATCACAAGGGACAGAGGTGCTCTGCCCGTTAGAAGGTGTGTGGTGCATCCCCTCTTCCTGTTTTGACAGAAAAGATGAGAACGTGTCACCTTGTGCCAAGGGCATCTGGCCTTAGAGGGTTGACATCTGAGCAGCTGTGGAGGTCCTTTTGGATTCTCAGTGTTGGGCGCTCAGACCCGTTGTCTTCCGTTGAAGTCTGTTTCCTTCCCTTTTCTCCCAGCTGTTGCTTGGGCCAGGTTGATGTATGCCTCTGTGATGTCTGTCTCTCTCCCAAACAATTAAATTGGAGTGTTCTGGTATGAATAATGCTGATTGCAGACTGCTGCAATTTTGGGGTTTGCAGTTTCTGAATACACAGGCTTTCCTATTAGGCTGTCGACTCTGAGTCGTTCTGGGCCTCACGGGTTGTCCTCTTGGTCTGGTACCATTGCAGTGGTTCTTAGGAGAGCTGTCCTTGAGGACCACAGAGCCTTGAGCTTTTAAAGAGGAGAAGGTTGTACATTTCCTCAACAGAAAGAAGTTTTGAAATGTATATGTCAGCAGCAGTTCGTGCCCAGGTCTGGAATACATTCAGTCTCCTGGATCAGCTATGTGCCTCTAGGCTCCTGTACTCAGTTGAGCTATCTGTAAAATGGGATAGTCGCTCTCCTGCCTTTTCACTGGGAGAGTTGTTACCAGCTGGATTTTGTGTTGGGACACAGAGGATGCTCTGCTGGATAAAGAAGGAGCCGTGTTTTATTTACTGTTCTTACGGTAGATCAGAGCTTGTGCTCTGTGCTTTTTTGACATAGCTGGTCCCCAGCCAGTGAGAACACAAGGCTATGTGTGCTCAGCACATTCACCTTTAATGCTTCCTACCCTTCCTTGTTCCATGTCCATGCTCTTCCTGGTCCACTGTGCAATGCAGCCAGCCTTGCAGGTAGGTAGCAGGGCAAGGCCAGTGCTGCAGACTGCTTGGAATTTAAGCTTCTAGCTGTCGAGGCATGCAGAAACTGCTGACTGCTAAAATACGGACGTGAGAGGGAAGGTATGAAAGCACAGCATGAGGCTATGTGTATTGGATCATGGAAATATTAACTACAGCGTGCCACAGGGCTCGTGCCTGGTTTTTACTGAAGTCCATTGTAGACCGTGGTGTAAATGCTATTAGTGTTGGGACTGCATTGCTGGTGGAGCGCTAGCGTGTCATGCAACTTGAATGCAAAGGGTTTGGGGTTTTAGGTTTTATTTCTCAGTTTTAGCTTAATAAGATACATTCTGTGTGTAATTGAAAACCTTCTAAAAGTAATTGTGCAGTCATAATTTGCACAACTGGCTATTAAACCAAGGAGAAAAGGGCAGTCCCAGCCTCAAGGGGTTTCCAGTATGTGTAGAAACTTTCCCAGACAAACTGAAATAGTCATCTTTTTATCTGTTTGAGTTAGGTTTTAAATATCTCCCTGAGGCCTTCTGCAGTTCTTTCATCACAGCCTTATATTAGCATCTGAGAACCAGGCAGTGCAATTGCCATGCTTGTTTTCCATATGAAAATGTGGCAAACGGAAGGAAGAAACTCATGCCATGAAGATTGAAAGGGAGTGGGAGATTTTTGTCAAACTGGAGTGTTTCTCAGTCTGCTGTGTATCCTATCTTGAACCCGACTATGTCACTTTAATCAAAACAGCCCAAATGACACCATCTTTGGAAACATTCCCCAGAAAACAGGCATTTATGTAACAGCAGGGTGTTGGTGATTTGGCTTGATGAAATGAATTCCTGTATTCCTTTTGCCCCAAGTTGCACAGAGATCACATGAGAGCCGTGCTGCTCCGCATGCTATGGGCTTTCAGCTCTCTTGGATACGTACAAATGGTAGCGTTGGCTGATGCCATTGGCTGAAACGCTAGCTGGAGCTGAATCCCAGTATTGTTCTGTGTCAGTCCATACTTGGTTTCCTCTTCATCTCCCAGCTTCCCCTCTAAGACCTTCAGCACCAGTGTTAAGTTACTCTGACTTCAAAGTAGTTTGCTACGCCCAGTTATCTGAAGCTCTTTGACGAATATGTCTTGGCAGGACAGTTTTTGCTTTCTTTTCTTCTTAAGAAAAACCTTGTGCATTAAAATGGCTGGAAGGTTTCTCAATAAGCCATTGCTATTTAAAGAAAATAATCGATGCTGAGGCTTTTAAAAAAATCTGAAGCTGTTACATGAAGCCGGTTACCAAAACGTTGCCTGCTTACTTGGCCTTTTATCTTCTGCAGCTGGAGGGAGAAAGTGGTTTAGTATGTCTGATTTGTAATAAGATCTAAATTGTGGGCTGGATCGTCTGGCCAAGAAAGGTCTTACTGACTTCGGAAATATAAGGTGATCAGCTAGATTGGGTAGAGTGAGTAAGTAGTTTTCCTTTGAATGTTCCTCTGGTGGCTGGGTTAGCATGAGTGGAGGTTCTTGTTCCCACATAGCAATGCATCGTTTAAAAATCTGTGCCAAATTTAGTACATAGTCTTGTTTCATTGCTTTTTCCAATGCCTAAATGGACTGGGACTTTGGGAATTCAACCTTGCCCCGCAACAGATTCCTGTGTGACCTTCATTAAGTCGCTTAATGTCTTTGTTCCTCCTTTCCCCACTTGCACAATTGAAATGTTTTGTCCAGTCTGGTTGGACGATAAAGCTTTGGAGCAGGTACTGTCTGCTCTTGTGAATTAGTACAGTGTGTCCTAATCCTCTTTGGCATTATTGGAAAAAAAAAAAAGCCCCAAAATTACCATGCCAGGCAACTGTAGTTAAAAGCGCATCTCAATGCCTTCCAATTGCCAAAAAATAAATGAAAGATATTTGTTGTTACATTTATCCTTCCCGAGGAAAGCATCCTGTGGTTTTTAGAATGTTTAAGAAAAACATGTATTTGATAATCGATGGTGACAAAACCACTCCAGGAAGGAGATAGAGGGGCTTTTCTTGAGAAATGAGCTTTCTGTGTCATTTTCTAGTGGGGCCTGGGAAAACAGCTAATGTAATGGGCATTTAGCAGCGTATGTTACATCCCTTCTCTTACTCAGGGTAGTGGATGGGATGCTGGTTTCTACCTGCTGTCTGCTAGTCTGACAGCCTTTCTGTCTGAATTCACATCTATCTGGTGTCCAGCAGAAAAGGATGGGGACAAGAGCAGAAAGATAGAAGCCAAACAGTGCTCTGGTAGTGTCCTCGCTACTGACTTCTTTTGCTGTGCGAACAGTAGTTCAGCAGAAACGGCCCCGATTATGGAAATATGTAGGGAATGTCTTGTGGGCGTCCTGCAGTTTCTTTTTTCATGAATTACTGTGATCCAGCTACTAAACATTATGCAGTGATGTATCCTCTGAAGTTAGCCTAAGGCTCGCTGAGGAAGTTTAATGTTTTCTTTTGATGTCCGCATGAGACCCTTGCTGAACATGGATGTGGATTCCTTCAACACAAAAGGCTGCAGCTCCTCCAGCATGGAGAATTTGGAAAAAACAGAACTTGTGTGTGCTGGACTTTCTCAGCTGGGGTTGGATTGTTAGCTGGGGAACGCTTCGACGCTCTCTTCTCTGTCGTTTTAGCAGGAGTTGCAAGGTTTATAAGCAAACCTCGCTGCCTGTCGTTGTGGCCTAGCTGCTTCCCTGGCTACAGGCTGCTGGAGCCTGAGCTTGGTACAACAGCCTCTCAGTGTTTATGGCATGCTGAAAGCATCAAGCTTCCCTCCCTGTTGGGGGATCCTAAAAGGATTTGGAACTGTCATGGTGGCTTTCAGATAAATTGTGGATGAATTCAGCTACTTCAAAGCATTCGATGCACCTTGTATGGGTGAAGTAAACAGCAATTGTTGGGGTGTGTGTTTTCTTTCCCTTCTGAGTATGTGGGGAAGGCAGCATGCAACGCTCTTGGTGCTTCACTTGTAAACACTGGCTGGTTCATATGTCAGTTCTCCTTGAAGACATGAAGTTATTTGCCGTGGGGAGGGAGCATGCACACAAGCTAAAACA